TCAGGCCACCGGGGCCACGGATGGCGGCAATCTCCGACAGCCGCACGCTGCCCAATTCGGGGCTGCCCATGCCGAGGTCACACAGGCCGAAGGCAATATCCGGCTCGTCGGGGTCGAGTTCGGACAGCAACCACGTCGCTGCGCCCCACGGGCAGAACAGCTTGACTACAGGCCAGAAGTCGTGGGTATCGCCGTCTGCGTCGATGCGCGCGGCGTTTTCCCGCCCTTTAGCAAGCATTCGGGCGCGTTGCCCGTCGGTCAGCAGCGCGGCTGCGCTGCCAAGGGTCGTCGTCGTGTCGTTCATTGGCTCAATTCTCCGTGCAGTCGTTACAGGCGGCACAGGGCACACACGCCCCGCGCCTGAACCTCTGCCCAGCGGCGAGCGACGACAGGAAAGCCAGTGATGATTAGTAAGTGCGGTCGGCCTGGCGGCGTCGCGCCGACATCCGACGGGCTCCAAGAGAGCCGCCCCGAAGGGGTGTAATCCGGCCAACACGGGAGGGCAGCTTGCTGCCCGAATGGAGCGGGCAGGCCGGACGGCGACCTTGGGTAAGTCGTCCCTGTCGCGCCGCAGGCGCTCCTCGCCTCTTGGGGCAAGCCCGGCGGGGTCGGCACAAGCTGGAAAGAGAGGTTCCGCGCGCAGCGCGAAAACGAAATCAACGTCGGCCCAAAGGGCCGTCCTTAGCCGCCGCACGGGGTAGCGTCAGCGCGGGTCCCGGTGCGGCGGCCTCTGGGGCGTTGCGGGATCTCCCGCTGGAAAGGGGTGTGCCGAAGACCTTGGGCTGAGGCCAGGGGAAAGACGTTTCCCCCAAAGGGTTCATTCACTGCGATGTAAGCACGAAAAAAAGCCGCCCCCGATTGGGAGCGGCTTGGCGTTATTCGGTCTCGCGAGCGTACAAGCCGTCGATCGCCGTGTTTGCCAGCAAGATTGCACAAGCGGCAAAAGCAAAGGTAATAGCTGTACCGACAGCCCAATCGAAAGCCACGGCGGTGGCAATGGCAACGACGGTGGCAATGGCTCGCGCCGTGACAGCCGCGAACGCGAAAGTAAGAACAGCTGCGCCAGAGGCGGCGCCGATATTGCCGCGAACAAAGACAATAATTACGGCAATGACGGC